ATTTTAATATCAATATACATATATTAATTGACTTAACCCTCACAACTCTATAAAGTAGCTGCTGTTACTATCATCCTCATTTTACAGGTAAGGAAACTGAGGCACAGAGGGGTAAGCAACTTGCCTAAGGTCACAGAGCCTACATGTGGCAGAGCCGAGATTCCAGTGTCCCCGTCTCTAACTCTCACACCACAACGATCCTCCCAGACGGTGGTTTGCAAACCGCACAGCGTGCGCCCGTTAGCTCAATCCTTTTATGGGGCTGTGACCCGCATTTAAAGAGAACAGAGGAAACAGAATAGGAGAAGCCAGCGTGCATCACGCACAGTGATGATAGGCATTACTTCGCGAAACGCACAGGCTAGCAAATCTATCTGGGTCCAGATTTCACAGAGTTCGGACAATAAAGGATTGCTACATATGCGCAGAACAGGGGTTCTCGACCTGGGTGACTCTGTGCCCGCAGGGGACACGTGGCTGACCACCAGCCACATATCCATCCAGCCAGCCACTTGCTCACCCAACAAACGAGCATGCCTCTGTCACGCCAGGCACGGCCGTGGGCACAGCCGCTGCAGAGGGAGGGCCCGCCCTGAGCCTCGCCTGCGCTGGCCTGCGCGTGACTCAGAGTTAGCTCGTGTGCACACCTGCCCAGCACGCTGACCTTCCTTCTTGCAGGTCTTCCATTACTCTCACTGCTGATGTAAGTGTCTATTCACTGGGCAATGGCTCTGTGCAGGGCCACCGAGTTAGGTCAGTGGCCTTATTCCCATTTACAGGTAAGGAAACCACACCTCGGAGAGCTGGAGTACGCAGAGCTGGGATTCACGCCCAGGGCCGGCGTTCTCAAGACCTCGGGTATCTCCAGCCGCAAACTCCCAGGGTTTGAATCCAGGCCCCACCACTTAGCAGCTGGGGAGCCCCGGGCAAGCTCATCGGACAGCATTCTCTCTGAGCCTGTTTCCCTGGTCTTTGGGCCACTCCTCATCTTGTCCCTAGAGGTCTACACCAGCCACCTCACAGACTTCTACTCTTGCCCCCCACCCAATCATTTTCCAATGACATCCTCTGATCACTAAAAATCATGTCATCAGACCATGCCACGTCCTGGCTGGAAACTGTCTGCTGGTTTCCAGGTGTGAACTCTTCACGGGGCCACCAGGGCCCTGCTGACATCTCCAACCCTATCTCCTTCTTTCTTTCCGTCCGTGAACGTCCCAAGTTCATCCCTTTCTTAGGACCTTTCCACATGCTGTGTGTGCCCTCAGCCTTCCCTCAGAAGGTTCCTGCCCTGTCCTGCTTTCTCCAAGGCTGTTCCCTCCTCTCCTTCAGGCCTGAGCTTAAATGCTCCCTCCTCGCGGAGGCCTTTCTGCCCATATCCCGCAAAGTGGGCACCGTCTGCTGGACTTCCTGCCACGGCCAATGCTTCCATCTGTCCGGCTGCTGGCCTACAGGTGAATCACGTCTCCTCCCCATGACTTCACTGTGGTGTCCTCAACACAGAGCGGCACATGCTGGGCGCTTGAGTGATGGCTGAGTTCATTCCTCCATTCATTTATTCAGTGAATTTTCACTGGGTGCCCACCAGGTGCTAGGCACTCTCTGGCCACTGGGGATACAGCAGGGACAGAAGAGATGACTCCCTGTCCTCACAGAGTTCACATTATAGTGGAGAGAGCAAGACCTGGCATAGTAGGTGCTCAGTGATAGCTATTCAACGTACAACACTGAAACAGCAGGAGCACAAATGTATTCTCACCCAGCTCTAGCCACAGCACTTAGGGGAAGAGACTGGAACCATCCCCACATGACAGCTGAGGACAGGGGGCTCAGAGATAGGAAGTCACTAGCTGGGGGCACCCAGAACAATGTCTGACTCGTGCCAGAAACAGTCTCTCAGAGGCCAGGGGCTCCCCGCCCCTCGTGTCCCCTTGTTCCGGCCTGTCTTCCCCCACCATGTGGAGATGATCTGGTACCATCTTGGCCCCGTGTCCCTCTGGATGACAATTCTAGACCGGTCCCATGCTTTACCCCATAACAAAAAAAGCTAAAAACAGTGATAATAGCAAACATTTCTCAAGTGCTTACTTTGTGCTAAGCATATATTAACTCGTTACTCCGCCTAAGCCCTACCCCACTCCCGCCAAACATCTGTTTGCTGATGGAACAAAGAAACTGGCTACTCAAGGTTATGTGGCAAGTGGCAGAGCCTGAAAGTGAAATCGCGGCTGTTCAAGGCCAAAGCCCATCCTGGTTTCTGTCATCCTGGCCCTCGTTGATGTTACTCTCTCTCCTCTTTCTACCTACCCGTGGGTCCTTTTTGAACAGTATTACACAACATCCACTGCTCCAGAATAAAAAGAGTAGCCCTCCCTAACGTCCCATGTGCTTATGACTGATATGAGACCAAAGGCTAGTTCCCCTAATATGCAAAGAGTTTCTATAAATCAACAAGAAAATGACCAGTAACCCAAATTTTAAAATGACAAAAGGTATGAACAGACAATCTAATAAAACAGAATGTACAAATGGCTCTTAGTCTATAAAAACCTGGCCAATCTCATTCACAATAAAAGAAATGCAAACTAAAACAAAACAAGATACTATTTTTCACCTATCCAGATTGGCCAAGTTCAAACACTAGCAAGGGTATGGAAAAACA